TGTCCCCGAGGGAATTTCAAGGTTGATTCAAGGTACTATCCCTCTTAGAAACCGAGGTTTGTTTTCTTTATAATTCCGATGATCAAGAATCTAAAGATCACGGCGTCTCCTACAGCTCGAATCACGGTTCAATTCCAATCGATACTGGACAAGTTCTCCCCCCATGATACTGTCTTCTCCCTAGCCCTCTCGTCGGAGTTGACAGAGAGTGCACTCTCCTCCGCCTGCCTGCTCCATACTGCGTCCAGTTCCATGACATCGTCGTCAAGCTCCCTTCGTCGTCGCAGATTGGGTGAAATTACTGAGGATGCTGAGGAATGTGCGAGCCCTCGTGAAGAAACATATGGGCAGTTCGACAACGGTTATGGAAATCGAAGGGAAAGCGTTTTCAGTGGGACGTCGGATGCAACCGCTGTACCCAGTCACCACCAGCGGGGTCAAGGATCGGTCGATACTTCCGGAACGGATCTCTCAAGGCCTCCACAATCTGACCGTTCCGAATCCACAGCTGAGAAACCTTTACCCGCTGTGCCCCGAAATCGCACCGAGAGCCAGTCAAGTGGCCATGCGCAGAGGCATTTCCTAGACTCCCTTGATCGCTCTCCTACTGATTCGCGCAAATCTTCTCAGTCCACTAGACCATCACTGAGAGATTTGGATTCAATAAGCATGTATCGCCCAAAGGTTAAGTTAGGGCCCCGGCCCTCAATGGACCCAAGTGGGCGACCACGGACCGCAGGATCGATAGGGAGATCTAGCGATACTCGCCCAGTAGCCTCACTACCTGCAGGTGTACGAACGTCAGCCCGAAAGAACAGTCCCTCCGGGGGGCGTCCCAAATCCCAACCTGACATCCCGGTCCCACGTCTTCCACCATCAATGGCTCCGCCTGTACCCCACTTATTAATTCCACCTCCCCCGCTTAACCTTGGCCCAATGTCCAGACATTCTCCGGGTTCCCCCAGATCAGTAATGAGCGTGCCAAGCTCACTCTCCATAACACCCGAAAAACAGAGATTAATGCGGGCGCTGGAATTACGAAAAAGGCAAATGGAGAAACGTGTGGAGGAGACTGAAAAGAAAAATGATGAGCTTAGTAGTGGATCGAAGCAAGTAGTGAAGAAATTGGAGGTTGAGGGAAACAAAGAAAATATTGAGATTGTCCAAATGGAAGTGGCTGCGAAACCACAACAGACTGAAGTTGCCTCATTTGAATCGGATGCGTTGGCTCCACTACAACTCACTCCCAGATCCCAAGAGCCGCAACACCCGCCGTCTATATATCCTGTTCAGGAACAGAAACAGACACCCCCGTCGCCGGATCCTTCGAATCCAGACTCAGCTGTAGATGTCGGCACAGTGGAACCCAAAAACATTGAATCCGCATCTTCCTCCACATCTGTTAAGAGTATTGTGTCGTCGGAAGTAGAGGAACAACATTCCTCCCCAACGATCTCCGTTACCAGTCCAGACGCCTCAAAACACCGTGAGGAAGATGAGGCTTGTGAGGCGTCGGAACCTAGTCAGGCTAATCCACAAATTGTGGAGACCGATACCACAATTGACACACAACAACAAACACAGAATAATGACGCGAGTGAATCAACACAAGATACCCAGCCATCGGATTCTCCAACAGATGATCTTAAAGTCTCTATAATTGAAGTCCCATCTGGCGTCTCTTCCCCGAATGCCACTCCCAGAGCAATCCCAAGAGATTGTCAAGCTGCGCCGCCTCAAACAGCAGAAATGACACCTACAGACATACCCCAGGAACCTTTACAATCTAACAACATCCCTGTAGCATCGCCCATCTCGCAGAAGCTCATAGAATGTCTCCCCGTGGAATCAATATTCGCCGCTGGTGATAGTGATGTGCCCAAATCAGGCAAATCCTCTTCTGAGACAGAGCCATCTGAAGCTAACAATCTCAAGAGCAAGCACAAAGGGCCCGTGGACCCTATCCATATTGTAACGCAATTCGATCAATCGGACGAAGACAATCTCTTGTCCGATGATTCTTTTATGGAGGAATTGGGAAGTGCTACATTTCAAGAAGCCAAGCCCATCGCAGTCCCGAAGACCCCGACTGCGTTCGCCAAAAATGGAGATTTGGACCCAGCCGCGGATTGGAAGAAATCTAGAGTATTCTCTAACCCGCCTAATGCAAGAAATACTGGACACGATGTGCAAGCACTCCCAATTGGCAGATCTCCTTCTGGATCTTTTCTCGAAAGCCAAAAAGCAGTCCCTGTACTTGTTGCTAAAAAAGTGAACGTCTCCTCCGGAATCTCAAAACGAATCAAGGCCTTGGAAATGTTTTCCAGCCGCGAAGGCCCAACACCTACGGTGCCGCAGCCTCCCCCGCCAACAAGTGCGGCGTCATCCCCTTTTGAAAAATTCCGCAAACGGGCCTCTATGTCACAGACTAGCCTACCCCCTGCTTCCACGCTCAGAAGCAAGTCTCCTTCCTATTCCCCATCACCTTCACCTTCAGAAAGGCGTGCTTTATCTCCCAATCCTTCAAAACGGGCCGACAGCCAAACAACAAACACCCAGTGCCGAGGAAAGTCGAATTCAGTCTCTGTGACAGCCCGCATCATTCGGGATCCAGCTGCTCCACCCAATGAACCTCCAGCTAACCCTTCGGAACCCACCGTCCTTAATCTGCAGCGCAGCCCCATTATTGTTGAGAGCGATACCCCCCAATTATCTCCTCGTCCTTCCACTTCAGCGGCAACCCGTCCAGAGAAACGCAGTCTATCTACTTCTTCTAGCACTGGGTCAGGGCGCTTATCTACCTCCCAAGGTATCCCTCGCTCCGATTCTACGCCGAGCAAGATCTCCGCCTCATCTCGGTCTAGACATGAAGCACATGGTCCACATCCCTCACCTGACGTATCGCACAGTCCCCTGAACCGTGTTGATGAGTCAAAGGAAGAGAAGAGGGAGTCTAGAAAATCGCGCATTATTCGCCGCATGTCATCTATCACTTCAAATTCTCGACGGGGTCTAATAAATGCTCTAAGCCCGACCTTGAAAGAGGAAGAATCACAGCTGGCCTCTTTAAACGATGAAAGCAGTACCCCTGAGCCTCCTCAGATGGTTGATATTGGCGAGGTCAACGTGCAATTTCCCGACACTCTTCTGTGGAAACGGAGGTTCATGCGCATCGATGACCAAGGCTATCTTATTCTCACTCCTGGTACCATCGACGGGACTGCTCGAAATCTCGTCAAGAGATACCATCTTTCAGAATTCCGGCCCCCATTTTTGCCGGATCAAGATAGGCAGGAACTCCCAAACAGCATCGTGCTTGATTTCCTGGACGGGAGCAGCTTACAGTGTGCATGCGAGTCAAGACAGGGACAAAGTGGTATCCTTCAAGGTAAAACTTCTCTCATTTCATTCTCTTCCTAGGAGCTTTGCATGCTGACGGACTTTTATACAGTACTTCTAGAAGCCCACCGGGCTTACGAGCACGTTTTCCCTCAGCAATAATCGAGATGATCGCCCACTGAGCTGAAATTAGACAACACTCGCGCATCCTCTCATAGCACCTAATTTCCCCTGCCGGTATCCCACAGCTACCTAGAAACAACATCCTTCGATTTATTTCGTTTGTAGAGGCGACTTTCTCTCGCATTCCATACACCAACCTCGAACAGTCGTTTTAAAACTCTTTCTTTTATCCTTTATTTTCATTTGTTTCTATTTGGGTGACAAAACATTGCCTAGGAAAGATCCACTTGCTTCTCTTTCTCTCTCTTTCTCTTCTGTAATATTTCATGATTTCTACGATATTATGATATTTCATTTTGGCCTTTCAACAACCACCACGCCGCCTGGTCAACCCCTCCCGATAAGTTGACCTACCGATAATGCGTAATATTTAGTCTCCTTCTCTAATTGCGCCCACCAGCACTGTCAACTCGCGAGACCCGGAGCCTCGTTCCCTGGGGTAGATAGTCTGCCACTTGTAGAGGACGATATTTGTTGCCAAGGAATAAGCCTAATCAGCACTCCCCTTTCACCAGAACCCGGTGGACATGCGCTTGGATTGTGCGAGTATTGGTCGACCATTGGCCGGAAAGAACAATATCATCTTCTTTGCTGTCGTTTCACGGACGACATCCTCACCGGAAGACTTCGCTGAATGGGCGAGATGAGCCATACGTTCTGTTGTATGGTTTCTGAGGGGCTACTAGCTCGTGCAGTCTTCGCTTTCTCGCACGGGGCATATAAAAAAATACTTCACCCTTCATATCTATCGTCGACAGTGGAATTTGTATTTTGGCGGAAGTAACGCTGGCCTCTTTCTCCTTTTCTATTTTTCTCTTTTGTCCCGTCATTTTCTTTTTTCCCCTATTTTTGCATCTTAATTGTGGTTGTTGGCATGTCGCAAATATATACCCCGCCCCTCCCCCACCCTGATTCTCTGAAAAGCATTTTCACACTGCCCTTATTCTCCTTCCTGTTGCCCTCCACCCCTTTTCTTATTTACACGCATTATCAATCACTCGCTTTTGATATTTCCCTCTCCTTTCTTCATTACTTTTCTATCTAGGTACTCGCCTTCCTTTCTCGTCCTCCACTTCTTGCTTGTGTTGGTTTTTAATTATTATCCCTGTTCCATGTCTTGATTTCTCTCGCAGGAGTATCTAGTTTTTCCTCTTTCCCCTTGTTCTAGCCTCTTTCCATTCGAACCCCACACTACCCATTGTCGTTTTTTTCCCTTACCAACACTCTTTGGTTGTTTCCCGGTTCTAGCTGTGTCTCTTTTGTTTTGGTACCCTTCAATTCCAGATGTTCCACTATTTTATTTGCCTTCTTTGATAACTTTTCTTCACCTCTTTTGACGGATCCCTTTTCCCTCTTCCTTCTTTCTTCTTTCTCTTTGGTTTTCACTTCATGCCCACCTTTCCATCTCCTTTTTGCGTCGATTGATATAACCTCTTAGTTTTCGATTTTGCATTTCTCCCTTTTCGTTTTTCGTTCTCCATCGTTTCCATTTTTACCATTTTACAAACTTATTCTTCAATTTCTATTGTTATATTAGCTTCCTAGTCGCATATTCCACCACTTAACTTCTACTATCTAACAATACATCCCCCTCCATTTTTTTTCTTCTCCATAGCTGAACCCCTTACTTTCATTTCACCTTGGAAGCCATCGGCTAGTTACCATGCCCGCCATAGAATTCCCCCGTAGGAAGTGACCCATCCTGGGTTTTAGTACCCGGCTGCAAAGAGATGGAGATTTTAAATTTGGACGATATATTGTTTAATCTGTAAATTAGCGCAATTCTACGGTGGCCAGATTCGACATTTCTTCTCTACTCCGTTCTTCCTTCTCGGCATCTGATTTTAGAATGATAAAAAGAGATAATTGTTAACAATCGGGGGAAATATACTTATTTCACATCAGAAGAAGTGGGGAAAAGTTCACGCATATTTGTACATACAATGTCTATATCAACAGGAAGTAAAAATGGAGAAAGTTTTTACCAAGCCAGCGCTCCGAGACACCCCTAGATTATGAAGGGGGGTAAGGTCCCGGGAACGTAGTAAAAACCCTTGATAAAGCAAACAGTCATTCAATCACTTCGAGTTTCCTCTTCTACATCAACCACCTCTCTCTACCTCTCCTCCTCATTAGAACCCTCCTTCCTACCCTCGCTTGCGCCATTCCCCTTCTTCTCCCCATACCTCTCTCCATTCCTCTCCGCCCACTCATCCAAAAAGCCTTGTAACTTGGGGCCCCACACCTCCTCCCCCGCCTCCAAATCGCTATACTCCAACACCTTCTCCGGCTCGAGTGTGAAATCGCCTTGGCGCGTGCGCACCAGCAATGACATCATCGCGTTGCTGCCTAGGGCCAAACCGAGGTCGTGGGCGAGGGAGCGGACGTAGAAGCCGGATGAGACAGTCATGGTGAGCCTTACTGCGGGGGGTTGAGGAGGTGGTGTGGAAGTGGAAGTGGAAGCGGTCGAGGCGGCATTGGATGCAGTGGGGTCAGCGGCGGGCGAAGGGTCTCGGGTAATGGAGGCGTCGACGGTGTTATCGGTGGTGGGCTTTTGGCGTTTCGGTGACGGAGGTGTTTTTTCTTCTGCTTCTGGCGCTGGAGGTGTGGAGAGCTTTCTCTTGATACCTTGTGATTCCCCCTCTGGCTGTGCGGTGGTATTCTGCTGTGCTTGTCCTTCGGCAGTAGGAGGGGTGGGAGCAGACGTTGTCGTATCAGTAGTCGGGAGCGCAGATGATGTTGGGCTTTTAGACAGCATCTTCTGCGCGACAGATTTCTCCGTGCTACTCGCCTCTTCCGTCGGCCAGGCATAATCATGCGTGCCACCTTCATACCAATCCAGGATCTCCAAATTCGTCACTTCAACAGGCCTCTTCAAAATTTCCACAGGTGGCTCAAGCCCCTCCCGCGCATACTCATACAATTTCTTCCCCTGTACCTTCAGCGCTGAAAATATCGACGGCCGCTGCATGATCTTGCCTCTGAAACCCTCCAGCGCCTTCTCCACCTTTTCGCGCGTAATATGCCCGTACGGCGCCCGACTCACCACCTTACCGACACGGTCGTACGTATCCGTCGCAGCGCCAAATAGTACCACAGTCTCGTATGACTTGGTGCACGCCAAGAAGTTATTCAGTTCCTTTGTGCCTTTGCCGACACCTGTGATTAGTACACCCGTCGCCATGGGGTCAAGGGTTCCCCCGTGCCCCAGTTTAACCTGTAGACGCTTGTCGCGCCATCTGCGGCCTTGGCGTTTGTTCCCTGCATGTCGCCGGCTGCGCTCAGTTTCGATCCATGGCTGGAAGAACTGAGAGGGAGTGAAGTGCTGTTGTAGGTTGCGGAGAACTTCGGCGGAGGATATGCCAGGGGGTTTATGAACGGCTGCATTTGAAGTAGGTGAGAGTTAGTCTAAAAGTTTCGTTCGAGCGGCAGAGAATATGCTCGACGAACCGAAAACGCCTTCTATATTTCGGTTGTGATTCATTATAGCTGAGAAACCTCTGGTGTGGAAGTGAAAGCGGATGGTCATGAAGGGGGAATTTTTGTTCGCGGCCGAAGGGGGGAAGAGGGAGGAAAAGGTGAAATTCTGAACGCGGGGTTGACGTCGGGATAATAGATTTCGCGGTCAAAGCTATTATAAATAGTAACTACTCATTGTGCAAAAAAGGTGAAGATGAGAGAACAGGACCCTGAAGCGGGCGGAGAGAAATATTTTATAAGATCTGAAGCTGCGATTACATCAAAACGCGGGTGTATTTCAAATACCGTTCCGCTGCGAATCGTACCGTACTGTAAAATACCAGTATAGAAGCTGCTTGCTCTCTGCCGCATTACCTTCCCCGATCTATCCTCAACATGCGCGATATCCATCGACTTGATCTCATAGTTATACATCAAGGCATCATGATGTTTTTGGAGATATGACAACGCGAATCGAGAATGTCCTTGCTGCTAGAAACGCTTCCCTTAACGATGAGAATGACTGGGAGGAGTTTGCCCTGACGGACGTTAAGGTTCTTGTACCTGGCAAGACGCGATATGCGAACGTCTTGTCTGCTTCGGCAGACAATCCTGTCCGTGTCACAGGCCAGCTGGAAGTGGTAGAAAAAGAGCAGGAAGAGCTTGGTAGGAGAATAATACGTCTGTCGTCGAGTTCGCTTTGTGATGGTTGTCCTAACTCAGCCTTCCATTTCAACAGTTCTTGATGATTCCTATCGAAACAAACGAGTCCTCATTGATAATGTCACGCACTACGCCTACGGTCAGCATGACGATGGCGAGATCGGCTTATGGGTTGCGGGCGCGGCAGGCTGGTTCTCCATCGCGCCCGCCAGAGGATACAAACCGATGTTCAACGAGATGGTCGAAGCCATTGACCTCCTATATTTCCTTGCGGACCAGCACCAAAAGAGCAGGCGGCGGGGTAGAAAATGGAATCCAAAAGTAAATTATCTATTTGATGAGGTTCGTCTAGAAAATATCTTGGTTGACGACGTTGCGGGGTTGAATGGTGCAGAGCGCTTACTCTTCACCCCTCTCTCGATAGTACACGAAACATACCAATGGGGCGTGCGAGGATGCGGAGGACTCAGCGGAGGTGTTCTACAAGCACCATGAGTTCCTTATCAACCGAATGGTCCAGGGTAAGGAGAATGTGGATTGGGCTTCGACTCCCATTTATGCTCATCTACGGGAGTTGTATTTGGTATGACACCCTGTAACAGGTCTCTCCTTATGAAAATTGGCTTCGCAGAAAATTCCGAGATCTAACCTGGTTTCAAGGATGTATTCGAGCGGGCAGAGGCGGCTGCGAATGAAACCCAAGAAGAGGTTGAATCTGACGAAGAATCAGAGGTTTCTCCCGATGCCGTGGACGTGGGGAGAGCCCAGGCTGACACGATATTTGAGGTTGTTTTGGACATGAAAGAGTCGGGGCTACTCTCTAAACGGCGACTTAATGTTACGACTGTTGCGGAGACGCTTTTGAAACGATATGAAATGAGCTCTTTGGATTATGCTCTGGATTTGATTCGTGCGAGAGCTGGTTTGCTTACAGAGATGATGGACAACGCACAAACGGCGACTTTTGACTGGTCTTCAAAAGCCATATATCGACAGCTAAAAGAGCTAGAGAGTTCAGGATGCTTGAAAGGTATTAGCGACACCCCGCTACACCCCAGGGCACGAAGGGAGGACGGTTCTTCGTCTCCCTTGGCGGAAGAAAGCGAAGATGATGATGAAATTCCTGTTCCGAAGGGGCGAAGGCGTAAGGTACGAAAATCCCTGCTCCGCCCGAAGATGAGCTCGGTTTCGGTCAAGGCGGCTGGTAAACGCAATCGACAAACAGAAATTGGGAATACAGATTCTGAGGATGAATTTAACGAGCCTCCGGAATCGGATGATACGCCTTCAAAGAGCCGCGGCCACCGCCTGGTTCATGACCCATTCTCGTCAAGGGTGAATGAAAGCACCCGCTCGATAGTTTCTGGATCAGACGTCGCTTCAGTAAGGAAAACACCGATGCAAGAGGTCTTCGAGGGCTTGATGACGGCCAGCCCAACCATCAATAACAACAGCGAAAACATAAATCAAGCGACAGAGCCCCCTGATCTCGCTGATTTACCTGCGGATACATGGATTTGTTCGGTCCAGGGATGCGGCAAAACTATATACAAAGCCAGTTCGAAACGGTCGAAAGAAGCTATTCTCGACCACTCCCTCGTCCATGCTGAAGACACTCAAGCCAAGCTGAACCTTGTATTCGCAGAACAGCGCCATAATGTCAACGCCTCTGTTAGCCATCTAGTCAGTCGCATTCGTGATTTCGGCTCCCATCAGGAATCAGCGGGAACATCTGATGAGGCTCCGTCCCTGCAGCGAACTCAGCACCCGGAGGTAGCGTAAAGGGTTAAGGTGCGTCATTTTCCATAAAGCCCAAATTAAATTAGCTAACTTCCTGGTAGATTGTTTACCTACCTTTTGTAGTAAAGGTGGCGAAGAATTTAGCCATGAAGACGCCTCACACCGTGTATGCGGAATAATATATCCCTGGGTAGGGAGTCATTACGATATCCATTCTCAACGTTTTCCACGTGGTGATTTTCACTTCAAAATACCCATTGTACAGTACATATATATATATATGATATATGTATTTTTATATTCCATCAGGCGATACCACATGGCATGATTCTGGAAGGCAACTTTTTTGGTGTTATTGGATCCCTATAACTTTAGTGATGAGTAACGAAGAATTTACGACCTATTAACAACTTTTAAGTGTGATCCAGCCTTGCCCTTCAAATTGACTGACATGGCTGCAAATGGAGGATTCTATAGGATAGCCCTTGGTGTTCTTGCAGTGTATAGGCAGATACATAACTTGCCCTGAATCCCTATTCCTTCATAACGAGGAAAGACTTAGCGACAGCTTTGATAAACAAATCAATTCTATAGAATTTAGGGCGGGAATATAAACCCATCCGCTCCCTAGCATACAGAAATGAAATGAGAAAATATCACAAACGTTTGCAATTATGTGCTCCCGAATGCCGCACTCTCAAGTCCTCTTGAAGGTTGCCCTTCTGCTCTTCCCCGGCCTCTGCGCGCCTCCTTTTTTTTGTCCTTTCATCTTACCCACTGAAAACCCGCTCAAATCGCCGCTGGACATCGCATCTCCACTCTTCGCGAATCGCTTCTTGCCCCCAAACCCAAACTTCTGATCCTTCTTTTGTCGCTTGCTTTGAGCACCCGGACCGTTGCGGCCACCCTTATTGGCTCCACCCCGTGAATGGGATTTGCCTTCGTCTTCTAGGGTAACGTCGAAAAGGTCTGACTCTTCAGTGGGAGCCCCATCACTCGCTTTGCGTTCTGCAAGGAGAGTAAAGGTATATATGTTAGGTTTGCAAATTTTACAAAGAGAAATGTAGAGTAATACGATTGGACAGCAGAAGTTGAGAACTTACTCCGCTTCAGACTATTGATCTTATCCAGCGTCTCCCGCTTCTCTTTCTGTCTCTGTTGTAGCTTGGCAACCTGGACTTGTTTTCCGAACTTTTTAAGATCTCGCTGTCGTTTAGCTTCCGCGCTTGCCTTCTTCGCCGCAGCTTCGTCGAACAATTTCTTCTTCACTCGGCCCATATGCTCATCAGACTTGACCATTTCGGCAAAGTAATCTGTCGGTCGTGAAAAGGGTATCCCTTCCTTCTTCAATTGATCTCTCGCGGATTTCGCGGCGGAAACGCAAACAGTGTAGAAAGCCAATTCACGTGTAAGATCATCGTTGGGATCTGGGACATCGATGGGTTCTGTTGATGTAAGGCTGTTGTGTTCTGAGAATGGAGTCTGAGGCGTGAGAAACGAGATGCGCTTGAGCGAAGAGAGGATGGCGGCGGAATTGTTGATAGTGAGGCGTTGGTGCGGTATTACGTCTGTGGCATCTTCCTCTGAAAGCTCTGATAAGGGAATGTCCTCTTCCTCTTCATCCTCGTCCCCATCTTCATCTTGCTCTTCTTCCTGATCCGTCCGTCGCTCCTCTTTAGCTTGGCTCGTAGGAGTGGGTTTTTCGTCTTCTCTATCTCCGGTACCATTTTGCTTTAGAGAAGTGGGATCCTAACCAGTCAAATGTCAGTAGTGTAAAAGCGGCATTCAATGGTCTCCCGGACACATACAGTTTGTTTAGTTTCTTGCTCCTCATTATCATTCAGGGTATCTTTAGAATCTCCCGCCGGTGCTCTTTTTCTCCTCTCTGCAGCCTTCTGCAACTTTTTCTGTCGCTCTAACTCATAATTGCGTCCTTTATGGGCATCTAGCGCCGATAGCAACTTACTCTTTTTCACCATTGTGAATATGCGAAGGGTATAATGCCGAGAGCAAGAAACTGGTAAGATGGTACTTGGTGTATTTCTCTTTCAACGGGCGGCCAAAGCGAAATAAGCTTGGAGAATTTTTTGGGATAACGCCTGCCCATATGTGGCTAGCGGTTTGAGCATTCGGCTCCAACAACCTTGCCGTATATAGATTAGCGTTGAACAGCAGATATCTTATCAACACGTGACACAAAGTTGCACCTTTCCTAATTAGGGTATCCTACTTTCAGGCATCATCTTGCCTTGAGATTCTGTTTCGTCTCCATTTCACCGTCATTATTCATTTAGGTCTTAAGGTCCCCGCAGGTCCTGTAAATCACGAGGATTACCCAAAAGAATTCTCTGAAGCTGTTTAGTTCCTCCCAGGGCCACCAAGCCTCAACTTGCCCTGATGAATCAGACAATGGCCCAGCTATGCCCGATATACTACTCCTGGCCCCTGAGAAAACGTTGAACGGCCACATTTTGACCACGTCGGGCAGGAAACTGTGTTGTAAACACGGCTGCCAAGTTCATGTTGGTCACGTGGAAGATCTATCTCCTCTTCAGTCCTTAGCCTTTCCCCAAAAAGGTTCGGAACAATCCAACCATGAACTCTCTGCAACAGACAATTTGGGTACAGCATCGCCGCTCTCGGGGTTGGTCTTGTTTGCGCATGAAAATCCGATCGTGGCTGGATTTGCCGATGATGTGATGTCACTGGGAAACAGACCCTTCCCTCAATTTTACTTGATACCTTTGGGTCTGTGGTTACTTGAATCCCCCCCCCCTCCCACGGCCACTGTTCCAGATCTGCTGGGTGTACCAGATGCTCGTACCGTTCCCCGGCAGAAATGCAGTCCAACATAGGCAGATGCCAAGACGGAAATGGCGTCTACTTCTAGCATGAGGTATGGAACTGAGCTACCCCTCTATTTACAAGAGAACTGCAGATGTGCCCCGATTCCTGTCCCAATTACTATGTCATTAAAAAAGGCCAAATTACTCTTGACAGCAATTATGTCAAGAAACGACTCTTCGAATTCAAGGGACTCAAACCAAAACCCGATCGTCTGGTTCGGAAAAAGCCCAATGGACGGTTAGGAAAGCTGTGTTTCACTGCCGAGCACATCATTTCATCAATCGCCTAGCACGAACAACGCATGTCATCATGTCAACGGGGAATGCTGGCGCCCATCACATGATACGAGATCCCGTTGGAAGCCTTTCTTCAAGAGATATACGCAATTGGGTAGAGGAAGGAGCTTACATGACACACATCGGTGTGCCTATCTCCTGTGCGGACGGATCTACTCTGTCGTAACTACCAAACACCGTTGGAACGCTCCATTGGAGCCCAAATTGGTCAAGAATATTACCCGTGAATCCCCATATAATCATATATATTGACTTCGGCCTTCTTGGCCATGTCTCAAAGAGACCTTTACTCCATTCAATATTGTTACTCGCCGCCTGCTGATAGAGCAGAAGTCAGACCATCATCAGTCTCGACACATCTTATGCTTGCTTTTTTATCACACATTGGGAGAGATTTGTGTTAATCGTACCTATTTTTCGCCAACATCCATAAAAATATGACACCCAATAAATTTCATCACAGCTCCGCCGCTCCTGGGGACATTCCGCCTTTGTAACCTGCACGGGTGATTGGCCAGGTGAGTCACTTGAAGAGGAAAAAAAAAAAAAAAAAAAAAAAAGAACTTTGGTTCCTTTGACTCGAGATTCCATGTGCTTTGATGGCAAACAGACTGAATAACGCTGACCAATTTTTGTGGTGGCCCTGGCACAGCTGCAAGAACCATATCACCCACCAATCTTGGGCCAATATTAATACCCATCAACCTGCGCGGAAAGATTGAGACTCCAGGCCTGGTGGCGACCAGAATAGACGCTCGCACGAATACTCTGCCCAACCATTATCGACATCTAGGCTTGGCTCGGACGGTTTACCTCATTAACTATCACTTGTAGTCTTTCGCTCCGATGGAAAAGAAATACCAGGATGACACTGGTGGGTGTACAAGTTTCCTCGACATTGCATGAATAAAGAAGAAGTCAACGAGGCGTGTCGCGCAACTACTTCTTCAAACAAATGAGAGACCTAGTCATTTGTGAAGCCTTCAATTCATAGTCCTCCTCATACTTATCCTCACCCGTTACCCTACCCGAACAACCATTACGACGGGGAGCTTAGCCTGAGGAGTCATCACGTTCCCAGATAATCCCTTTAAGCTATTATCATGGGGCAGGCATGATTGCTGGGATACATCACGATATAAGGACATGAACCTTTTCCCGGCCATGTCAAGGTAATGAAAGTGATAGACGTTAATCAAAGTCGCTAGGGTTTACTGTCGCGCATGGTAAACTATAGGAAGTGCTGATCGCGTTACAAATAATTTGATAAATGAAAGAGCTTATGTATCAAGACCCTAGTGATTGGGTACGCAATATATGACACAAACAATGACGCATATACCTGTTTGTGTTCCCAACATGACCCGAGGTTGAAACCTCTGGATTAGCAGGTCAAAAGAGAGACAGCGGCAGTGCGGTTGACTCGGATAGTGGCATATCTTGTGATTCCGCTGCCAATCAAGCTATTGCCGGGTTGATGGAAGTCACGTTTTGGGGAGACTTGGGCTTGTCATTAGCTGTTTGGAAGTTTTCGTACAGGTATTATCAGGCACTTGCTCTCGTGGAGGGGTGGGGAGGGGTGGGAACATGTGTTGAGCCTAGACAAAGCTCGATCAGTTTGCCGGCCCTCTAATTGGCTCTTTCTTTTTGTGATGTCTTTCATTTATACTCAGATCAAGGATGCGGTGCACAGCTCTATAATGCATATATGTCTATTGCGTGGAGCTTTGCTTTTGAGACTTGGACTCTTGTTCACGGGACATCAGCTTGAATGGCGGGGTCCCTGAGTCTTTTTCTCCTCAATCAGTGTCATGGCGAATAAGGTATATCACACCTACCTATTGACCTCATCCCCCATGTATAATGAGCACAGTCTGCGCGTGTAGACGCACACATCCCGCTACAGGTTGAACTGGCAGGTACCCCAACCAGCATCTCTCGTTTTGTGTTTTTTTTTTTTTTTTTTTTTTTTTTTTTTTTTTTTTTTTTTTTTTTTTTTTTTTTTTTTTTTTTTTTTTTTGTTGCACTCCCGAGAGAGGGAGAATAGGGTCTGACCGTCCGCAATTTTTTTCTTTTGTACCATCAATCCCTTGAGGTGGAAATTGTTTAAATGGAGCCTTCATTCTCTTGAATTCGCGGAACGTAAAGGATGGACCTTTTGTTTCGAGTGGACCGCAGTATTGTCTACCCCTTTTGGTGGAGGCTTCCAAAGGCAACTGTTCAATAACACCACAATCTCAAACGCACAAAGGCAGTAGTCAATCCTTCTCAAAAATCCCTCTTCACATTAAACTTCTTAAGAGAAGCCCATCCTCTTTTACGTCAACCATCCTAGTCTCCTCTCTTCAGTTTAGGACTCCTAACCTTCCCCCAATTTCCACTTCTCGTCTCAAGCACTCGTATTCCTCCAAATGGCTTATATCCGACCGGATCCACCCAATGGAGGAGTGAGAGCGTGGTCGGTTGTGGTAGGCTCGTTTCTCCTTCAAATGTCTTCTTTTGGATATCTCAATACGTACGTATCTGCTCCTTACCAAAATAATATTTGGGTTGCTGTTTGCCCTTTTTGGTAAAATCGACGCGGCAGCATCTCATTAATGAGCAATTTCACCGGAGCTGATAGCAGAGTTGATTTGCTGACTGCTTTCCTTATTGTGGATTTGCCAGCTGTGGAACTTTCCAATACTATTATCAGAGTATCATGTTGCCCAGCAAGAATTCATCCCAGCTTGCCTGGATCACAACGCTTCAAATCGCTTTCTTTTTCGCGTGCGGGCCAGCCGTGGGCAAACTTGTGGACGTGTACGGCTCTCGGCCTGTCATTGCTCCCTTTGCTGCCCTGGCGGTCATATCGCTTGGTATGCTGAGTCTCTGCACTCAGTACTACCAAGTGCTCCTAGCTCAAGGGGTTGCGTTTGGAATCGCAGTTTCTGGAACTTGCCTGCCAGCCATAGTTACGGTATCCCAGTGGTTCTCAACCAAAAGAGGATTGGCCGTCGGTGTTGCGAGCTGTGGAAGCAGCGTTGGTAAGACATTTAGTTTATCACTGCCTTCTTGTTATTATTTGTCATGCTCAGCATAACCGCAGCGCACTAGACATGCAGAAAACATATCTTTCATTGGGTATTAGTGGAAGTACTTGCTTGTTCAGCCATTCATGCTAACAAAATTAATTAGGGGGTGTCATTTTCCCGATTATGGTTTCCAGACTGATTAAATCCCACGGCTTTGCGTCCGCTATCAGGTGGTCAATGGTTGTAGTTGGCATAACAATGCTGATTGGAATATTGCTATGCGACACTCCCTTTCCACCACTCTACAAATTGAAAAAGCTGCAAGGTGACGAAGAAGCCGGCCAACCCACCGATAGAAAGAACTCTCAGGATATAGAGCCAGGTGATGCTGAATCGGTTGGGAGCAAAGCCAAGGAGGCTGAATTGGATTCCCCTGTGCTCGAAGCTGCGATACCACCAATCAACGAAGAGGAAAATGCAAAAGGACTACTGAGTGGGCTGCTGCAACGGAAAGCACTTGGATGGGCGGGTTTTGTTTTAGGCACTTTCTTCTTCATGTGTGTGACAACTGGCCCCAAGATATGTACAACCATGATACTGACTCAAAATGTTCTGTTACTTCATAGGTGGTCATTCTTGGCGCCCTTTAACTACCTCCCTCTGATGTCGGTTGCCAGTGGAATGTCCCCAGATCTTGCACAGTACACTCTCACAGTAACCAAGTAAGTGCAATCTCAAGAACCTCTTGGAAGCGAAAGTAAATATGTAAGGCAATAAGTATGGCTAACTCTCGATTCCTAGTGCCGGTTCAATGTTTGGTCGGTGAGTGTGACACCTGGCCCCGTTCTTGATGATCTTCCTTGCTTTTACTCCTCATGTATGTTCGTTCCGTTTCTCTAACCAACGACAATTCAGCGTGGGCCTAGGAGCTGTATCCGACAAAATGGGCGCATTTAACGTCATGTGCATTGTCACCACCTTCACTGCTACAACAGTTTTAGGGTTTTGGTTGCCTCTCAGCTACAACCCCTCCACGGTTGGCATTTTTATGTTTGGGGGTATCTATGGTGTTGCTAGCGGCGGTTTTATCAGCTTGATCGCGCCTTGCGTTGTATCTCTTGCCAACAGCCAGCTAGAGAACCTAGGCATTACGTTTGGGCTCGTGTGTATAGGCCTTGCCTTCGGGTATGTTGGCGCTCTTCTGCCCCTTCTCTCACTATCTTCAAGAGATTATGTGTTTTACCCATCCTTTTCAAGCAATCATAGATGGAAGCTAATCAAAAAATTTCTTTTGCGTTCTAAATATACAGAGCACTTGTCGGATTACCAGCAATGGCTGCCGTGAAAGACAGCGCAGCCTCTCACAGCTTCGAAGACCTAATTATCTTCACAGGAGTAGTATTGGCTGTCGGTTCAGTCTGCATGGTCGTTGCCCGCTACATGAAAGGCGGCATCAATTTCCGGACTAAAGTCTAATGAAAGGCGTAGCGAACTTCCTATTATTTGCCACGCGAATGCACATGTCCATGCCAACAAGGGAAGGGTCATAATAGTTTTCTTTTACACATTTCCTTGTTCATCAGGGTAACCCACTACTTTTTTTAGTACAGCACGTTTAATATTTTAACGGTGGATTTGGCATAAAGTAGGAATTTCGAAGGAAACAAAGAATAACCAACAAGTGAGGAGGAAAACCTGAGGAGAGATAAAGCAAAAGCGAGAGAGAGAAGTAGTACGGTTTCACAGGTAGATAGAAAAAAAATAAAAGAAATCCCAGTTCCTAGATACACATTTTATTATTGCTTAGAAGTACATCAGAGAACAATCCATCTATGAGAACTGATCGCTTGCGTTGCTCGGCCTTTGAGGTTCCCCCAAGATCTCAAATTATGCTGTGTTGCCTAGGAAAGCAGGGTGAAAAATCCAGAACATACATGAAAAAAGGAACACTTTTCATGCTTGATTGTGTGGAAGACATGAAAGAAAAAGGATGATTGACAGACAGAAGGTTCATATTTTTATTTTCTTTTGCTCATCAATGTTTCCCCTCACCTTAACCTCTTGAAGAACGAACTCAATAGGTCTAGCTGGACATGGGCCATCCACTCTGTCAAAGGCAAGACAAATGTTACATTCAGGTCAAACCTAGAGGTCGTTGCTTTGGAGGGTGGTGTGATGAAAGTCGTCCACTGGAGTCTTAACATCTAGGAGATCACGATGTTTAATCGCCTACTTCCTGCAGATATCATAAGACGTGTGACGTAAAGTAAGAACAAGGAAATAACCGCATGCGTTTGGCAATTGCTAGGTATCATGTTTCCCCAGCACCGGATGTACACCTACCTGTTGTACATATACATGTACATGTACATGTGCATGTACTCAAGTTCTTCCTGATGTCACTTGCGCAGTACAGTACCTCGGCTGTGGAGTAGTTACCATTTGCTCTACGCAAAAGGTGAAGGACGTCCCTCTTGAAAATCAGGTAAGGACTCATTTATCCATTCATCCATCCCCTACGACAACGATAATAAAAGACTAGCCTTGCTGACCATAACTTACTCGTAACATTTGATATAATCTCACCTCAAGGAGATTTGAATAGAAATGCGGCTCAAATACTCTTCCACGGAACCAGTGGCTTGCTTAAATCATGTTCTGACCAATAGTAGGGCGTCTCGGGATGTATCCACAACCTTAAATCCACGGAAGCAAACTGGTACAAGATCACATTGTTGTTTCGAACAGCTAGCGAAGGCCATGACAAGCATGTTGCATGGCAAAACACGAAACAAATCCATCGCTCCTCTCCCTTTCCGCGCATATATCTCTTACTATTACCGGGTCCGAAGGGAATATACTCGAATATACACCCAAAGGGCCCACCAACGCACATATCTTCATAGTCAAGAGCAGTCTAGACGCATCAACACGTTGTGAACAATGTCCACTCTAAGCCGTAGACCCTCGCAGCTCCGCTCAAATAGTGACACGGACAACAATAAACGTTCGTCAATACAAGCGGTACGCTCTCGGCTTAAAACTTTCCTTAAAAGTCGGAACTCAACGCGAAAACGAGTCGCTTGCTAATAATGGGTTTCCATTGAAACGAACACCAGGCAACTACCGCCGGAGATGAGAGCTCAAACCAATTGGTGCAAGCGGTCGACGAGTTGCTAGACCAACTACAGAATAAATTCGACAAAGTCTCAAAGGAGATCTTTGGAAAATGTGAGTTTCATGCTTTTTGGATACTTTGCTTGCTTTTGACTTTTGTTTTCGCGAAATAAAATCGTTGTCCCGCCCCACTGGACATGCCCCGCCCTCCGCCGCTTCGTCTCCATTCAATCCTCACCTACAAAAATGGACTTTTTCATACGCATGTGTCATGCACCCCTGTATACACTCAATCACTAATTACAAACTCCCTTCCCATTAGTGGATGATATGGCACGAAGACTCGACCAACTCGAAGCCGCTCTCGCTAGTTCCCCTGAAGCAAACACGACGAACTGATACGCCCCTCCATTCATAAAAAATGGTGGTTTTGCCTCATTTCTCTCTTTCCCAAAGCATACAACGACTTGATTTCCGATTCTTCCTTTTTCATCTGGATTCACAGCACTATACAGCATATGTATGATAAGCTCAGGAATTCCCAAATCTCTGCATTTTTTGCGCACATACGGACCCCCCAACAGCCGAAGCTGAATAACCCACAGAACCACATCCTTGGCCAAAGTTAACTCTCCGTCGAAAGTCAGGAGAGAGCGGCGGTATCATATGCAAGATATTGGCGTTGTCGGACCTTTTATTTTATATTCTATGTTTGCTGATCAATTGAGCTGTTTCTGTTGTCTAGTACAAGACTGAACGGTCGCAGAAGCTCTATCGTCTTCTAAGTCCTGTTTCTGAAATGATATTGTAATCCCTCTTTGTATTTTATTTTGTTTTCCTTTTTATATTATATGTATTTATTTTATGTTTTCGCAGCCTGGAAGCTTGTTGGTTCTTTTGTCATACCCCCTTTTAAAAAAAATTAGGTCCTAGAAAGCTTTATATTTCCTCTCTTGGATTTATTAAAGATACCCAGTCGATTCTATACATTATTTTCATGGGAAATTGAATGTGTCCAAGGAATGAAATGAACAGCAAAAACTGAAATCTATCAATTATACACAATGCAAGGCATAAATCATACACTACATATTTGCCTTTCTAGGGGATAATCTCGTTCACCATCACCCTTGAACCCATCGGCCACTAGGACCCCCCCACACACACCCCCTCCCAGCCACAAACCAGCTTCATCCCTTAGGGCCCTAAGAAATCCATCCTACACACCGTTCGCTCACAGCTCATCCTTCCCTTTTTTCTCCTCCTTTTGCTCCTCCTCGTCCTTCTCCGCAATAAATCTCCGCAGAATATTACTCCTCGACATCAAATCATCCATCTTCTCCGGCGCCAGGCCTCCCTTGCTCATCACCCTCTCCAGCCTCGCCAACTCCTTCGTCACATAATCCTTGTTCTCAAATAACTTCACCAGAACCTTGCTGTAGTAATCCACATACGGTCCCTCAACGTTCTTCAAAGCTTTAACTTCGCGTAGGATCTTCTGAACACTCTTCACGCTGCCAGTAGCGTATTTGGCGATGATGGCATCCAGTGCCTTAATTGTGCCAGCATCCTTATCCAGGCCGCCGCCAACAACGCGGTGGGTTCCGGACTTCTCGTTCACGTACGCAACGAAATCCTCCTCTGAACGACCGCCATCGTAGCTTAATGGAGCCTTGGAGCCGCGGGGGAAGAACTTGATGGTCGGATATGACTTGATATCCTGTGCTTCAGCGGTTCTCTTGGAGTTTTCGGCGTCTGCGTCTACTTTGGCGATTGCGACGTTGGGTTCGAGCTTGAAGTTGTTGGCCAGCTTCTCCCAGATTGGGGCTAGGGTCTTGCAGTCTGCAGGATTTTATTAGTCCAATTGAAGAAGAAAATAGTAAAGGAAATCATTGGAGAATAAACCAATGTCAGGAGGAAACTAGGGACGGAAGCGGAAGAAGAAGGAGGGGAAGGAGGGAAGGGAGCTTACGTCCACACCAAGGAGCCGTAAACGCTACAAAAACATCTTTCTCCCCTCCAATGACCTTGGAGAACGTCGCATCCGTCAACATCTGTACATTGCTTGGAGGCTTCTGCACACCCTTTGGCTTAATCCCCGTCTTCTCCGTCACAAACTTCGTCAGACTCTCCAAGTCCCGTCCACCATTATAGTCCTCGGGCTTGTCGCTCTTCCCATCAAACCACTTCAGCGTTGGGAAGCCCTGAACGCCAAACTTCTTGCCTAGCGACCTATGCTCGTCCGCATCCACTTTGCTGATGTGTACCTTGTCGCTGGCGAAAGCGAAGGCGTCGGCCAGCTCATCGTAGATGGGGGCTAGGTTTTTGCAGTGACCGCACCAGGGAGCGAAGAATTCGACTAGACCTGGTTTGCCTGATTTGAGGGCAACGGAATCGAAGCTATCTGGGGTTAGGTCTAGGACAGCGGATATGGCGCTGGCGGGGCCGATGTGGTTGAGGAGGACGGAGGCGGAGGCCAGGAGGAGGTAGCTTAGGCGAGCCATTTTGGGCGATGGGGCCTGTTGGGAGTGCGAGCGAGATCAAATTTCACACCACAATCTGGAATATCCTGAAGATGCGCCGGTCTCTAGGAGCATGTGTATGTTTTTTTTCTTTTCAAGCGAGGTTGTTATCGTCGCAGGCTCGCTGGCATGTCAGCTGCTAGCCGTTCGGTGGAATGGGCCAAATGATATTGAGGACAGCTGTTGCCGGCGCGATTACTAATGAGGGAACTAGATCGATAGCCGCAGCGCTAAGGAGAACAAACCACGGCAATTATTTATTAGCGTAACTCTGTAGCTTGGATGGAAATCCTGAGTTGATTGAAATATATTTAAAGCTTGGTAGCAATTGCTATCCTACGCTTGACTATTCCGATGGTTGGTTAAACTATCACAGGATGGGTCAGCCCAACCGTTAAGGTTGGGTCCAGTACCATATTGATATATTGATACCAGATTAGGGTATTGGTAGGGTAAACACCGAACTGAGTTCTACGATTGCTGCCAGGGAATGCAGCGCCAGCTTTTTGGCCACGCCAAAGCAAGAGTTAAGAAAAACACACCCCCAGTTATCTCCGTTCCGTCAACCATTTATTGGTCTCGTCCCACAATTTCGCATCTTTGAACTCCTTCCCAGCATTCTGAGATGCTCGATAAACCTAGCGGAAATAATTAGTTTAATTTTCCTTTTTCACAATAGTGGGTCCGAACATACCGCATCCCAAAGTGTGAAGGCCATGTCCAGGTTTCCGCTGAAGCTATCGCTATGTTGGAACCACTCTTTGCCCTTGGCCTTGACCTCAGCCCGAACTCTTGGCGATATTGGCTCCGATTGTTGTGGCAAGTCGTCAAGATACGTCCGAACAGCAATTCCAAGTCCGCAATTGTTATCATCAATAAAAGGAAGACTAAATTGCAATTAGTATTGCGAGGTTGATAAGTAATTAGCTTGACTAACCTGAGCCCCAAATCAGTCCAGTCATCACGATCGCGGTCCGCTTCTCCGTTCAACAAAAGACTTGCTAGGACGACCTCAACCAAATCTCTAAGGCTCGACCGGACAGCGCATATTAGGGAACGGAACGACAGGAGCTGTCTACTCAGAGGACCTGAATAGCCAATGGATTTGTGGCGGATTTTGCCAATGCAGGCAACTTGTGACACCAGCAGATTGAACTTTTTCTCCTCATCTAATGGAAAGCTTAGTACAGCAAACAAATGCAAAACCCGCGAGAATTTCAATATCACTTACCGGTACCCCTCATTGGGCCACCAGAGATATTCGCAAACCAATCCTTAGAGCTCAGAACCCCGAGACGCAAAAGCTCCACGGCAATAAAAGTCGGTTCTTCCAAGTTCTCCGCAGGGTCTAATGACGACATGGCTACTTCCAATGCTTGTCCCCATTGAGTGAGTCGGTGCTTATCATTGACATAGCCCCGTAGTTGTAATAACCTCCACATTACATTTGCAAGAATTTCAGTTTTTGATGATAGAGGCTATTAAATGTTAGATAATGAATGATACCTCCGCTATTTTATGAAACATTGATTACTTACAGGCGCATCCCGGGTTGAGAATGAGTTGGAAACAAACTCCTGATCCTTCAAAGCTCGAAGGGCGAAAGTAAATGGGAGAGAATCGGCCTAATGGAAAATGAGCATAAACGATACAAAAGGCGACAGCCGTAGTGTACCATACCTGGAGTTGCTTGACACTTTCCGGGAATTTATCACTTCGAAGTTTCCACGAGATGGTAGACTCCTTCACTGAAGGCAAATCTTCCTTAAGGTTGATAGAGCGGGTAGATTTCGGCGCATACCATGTACGAACATTGATAGCTTTAGTCTGGTAGAAGCGATGAAGAGAATTGGAAAGCAGGCACAAAGCCTGGGTTCGAATAGGAGTAAGAAGATCTCCCTGGAGACGACGATAAATCTCCGAGTCCTCAGCGCCTAGTGGTAGCCTGATCAAGAGCTCGCCCGAAGTCAACCAGTCGGGAACTTGAGAACCAAGAATACCCTTGGACATGTAAAAGTAAAGTTCCTCTGGCAGTCGCTGCCCGATGAGTTCATGCAAGTCGTTGGATACATTCTCAGCATCCATAGGGCCAACCTTCCCATCAATATCCATAATTATATGGTGTTTCACCGTCATGAGTGCGCGCTTAAAATGTTCAACGTAGGGCAAGTCATTGATTCGATGGTCATCTTCAATCTGACCACACAGAACCAAAGCATTTCGCCCGGCGCTATTATACGCGGTCATAGCCTCTCGGATATTAACATTCTTTCCAGGGAATGCCACGTTTTCGAAAGGTGGGAAGGCTCGGAGAAATCGGGAGCCAAGGAGCAAGCAGAATTCGACGAACTGCTCATTTGTTATCCTTCCCAGATCATCTTGGCATATTTGCCTAGTGATCCATGTGAATTTAGAAAGGTCGGTATCCAGTCTCGTGATGACTTTGTCTATATCGAAAAGGAAGAGGTCTGATGGGCCGAAAACAGCGTCGACGAATCGGTTGGGGCCTTTTTCAAGGTAGGCAAGCTGCAGAAGAAAAGTGTCAATTAGGCATAAATCCAAGCCGCGGGAGAGACCGATCACAAAATTACCTGTGCGGAAGCAGCGTAAGGTGCAACGAGAAAGTCGATTCCTAGTTCATGTAGAATTCTTTGCAAGAACTTATAAAGAGTCTCGGGTTTTGCGCTCCCTACCAGTCGAATATCAGCACATGTTAAAACTAGGAATGTCTGTCCCAGAAAAAAATGAACATACCGGCCGAACTAAAGGCATCGACGACCTGGTCCGCCTGTTTCTGGTCATACAACTCCCATGCCTGTTCCAGAGCGCGAGTAGAGTTAGCTTGAGCAGAGAAATCGGTTTCGCGTTTCCCGAAATCAAGCCCATTGAAGACAAAGACGCAGGTAATGTTCAAGTTCTTCAGGGCTTGGAGCTCCTTTTCGATATTGGATTTCAGAGAAAACGGGAAGCCTCCCAGGGCAATGAGGAGGGGTTCTTTGGTCGCATGGTGATTCAGGTGTTGGTCAAGATAGTGGGAGGCATCGATGCCTATGACAGCACCTTTAAGGGCGGAAAGAGGGAGAGTCTGGGCACGGCCGCTGGCCCACTCATCAAAGGCACAAACTAGAAAAGGGGACCCAAGGGTTTTGTGTCAGTTGCGGTCTATGAGAACAGCAGTAGTTGGGTGGCTTGATTGATACATACTCGGCATAGTGTAGAGAGCTTTGTTCAGCTAGCAAGCAATAGGTGGTTGAGGGCAGTGGTGCTCCGCCAGTCGTTGGAGCTTGTTTGGGCGAAAGGCAAGGGGGAGCTCCAAGCTAGCTAGCAGAGATGCGCGCGTGCGGTCGGATGGAATACACTGCGGCAAACCCTTGCAATGGCTCACGGTTGGCAGGAGGAACGCTGATGCTGACACACAGCAGTAGAGCAGCAGCAGAGGGCCGTGGTTGGGATGTCAAGGAGTCGAAGGGGATGTGAACGAGTTGACGTTGAAATCGGAAGCAGCAAAAGTGAGAGCGCGGGAGAACAGGCGGGCAGTGGCGGTAATGGAGTGGGGCGTGGCTGTAGACACGGCATATGCATGGGTACCAAGCAAATACCAAGATGCGCGTGCATTTTTCCCTAGGAGAGTATGTCCCTTCGGTTGAACAACCATGGATATTGTTTCATTAATCTCAAAAGATCAAAAAAGGTTTAAATTCTATTTAACCGATCTAATTTTAATGAATGCATCATACTCCTCGCCGATGTTCGGCTTTTTACTCGTCCCCGTCAAGCGGAACTGACCGAAGCTCCTCCATGTCAAAGATTGCCTCTTCCCCATGCAACCGATCCCGGACCGATATGATATGGTGTGGTACAAGGCGAAAAATCATAAATACTTTCAAAATCCGGATATAACCTTCCACTCTATCAAACAATCGTATATCATCGCCATCATTGACTGATTAGCAATGGTCGAGAATAAGCCCGCCAGAGCGGCTGCCGTGCAGCTGCCAGTGATCAACATCTCAAAAGCCACACCCGCCGTTGGAAAGGCTATGATCGATGCGGCAACTAAATATGGCTTTTTCTATGTGGATAGTGCCAGCAGTTATTTCTCAAGTGACGATGTAGAGGGCGCGTTTGCTATGGTATGATTATACCCAATTGCTTTCAGCCTCTCGTTGCGCAGGCCAGGTAGATAAATATTGGCAAAACCTGACATTGGAACTCAAAATTTAGGCCCGGGAGTTCTTTGCTTCTCCTTATGAAGAAAAAGCTGTGGTTGCGATTGGTACAAATGTATGTAGAAGCAACATACCTGTATCTTGTGCATCGCCGGTTATGCACGACTCTTCACCATTTGAAGAAGAGATGATCAGACGCTCTATAAACCCGTCAGTTGATTGAGAATTTTGTGAAAATAGAATAGGGGCTGGTCTGGCATGCATGCGGAAACGCTTGACCCCAAACATCAACAGGTGCGCTTTGCCAAATAGCTCAATATTCCCCTATTGTTGCTTCGTTCGCATACTCATCTGGACGAGCATGACGCTAACAAAGCATTATTATCGTATGGCTTTGCTTAACATAGAGAGGCGATTTCAAAGAGTATCTATATTCTCCGCTCTAGATCCTGACTCGCTCCCTATACGCACCAGGCACCCCTTTTCCTCCATACAATAGATATATAGAAATGGATTCTGGCTAACGATCGTCAACCCAGAGCAATGAACTTTGGCGAATTCAAAGATAACAAGCCCCAGCAGGAGCTGCCTAAATCGCTTGTTCACCACGAAGCCGAGTTAGCATGCTTCATGGACCTATGTCGAAAGACATGTAATCGGATTCTCGCCCTCCTAGCCCTAGGCTTAGATGTAAGCATATTCCTCAACTAATCCCCTGGGGTAGGATGACATAGAAACGAGGAAAGAACAAGGGCGTTACGAATTCCACGCCACTTCCCTCTTTATATATAAGTATATAACTATATATATACCTCGAACGATCCAACTAACAAATCCCCCCTCCCCCCACCTTTTCCGCCCCGAAACTAGATCCCCGAAAACTGGTTTACATCCCGTCACGACCCCGCCGTCGGGCCGTCTGGCTGCACCTTCCGCTTCCTCTACTACCCTTCAATCGACTCACCTGCTTCCTCAACCTTCAAGCACGGCGTTGACGTCCGCGCCGGGGCCCACAGCGACTACGGCAGTATCACCCTCCTATTCCAGCGAGATGGCCAGCCAGGGTTAGAAATCCTTACGCCGACGGGGGGATGGGCGCCTGTACCTGTTCGGCCTGCTGTTTCTGGCAGTGACAGTGGCAGTGGCGCGGATGCGATATTCCCACCCATACTGATAAACATTGGTGATCTGCTGAGTTACTGGACGGCTGGGCTGTTGAAATCTACGGTACATCGAGTTGTGTTTCCACAGGAGTTGCAGCAACAGCAACAGCAGCAGCAGCAGGGAGTTGAGATGGATGAAGGCGACCGAAGCCGTGATAGGTATAGCATGGCATATTTCTGTCATCCGGTGAATAACACGGAGCTTGTGCCTGTTCCTAGCCAGCTCGTTGAGGAGCGGAGGAAGCAGAATATGATGTCTACGACGGACGGCGGGCAGCGACTGGGAGATAATGGTGGTAATAGTGGTGATGCTGGGGAAGTTCCTTTGACTGCGAGAGAGCATTTGGCGGGGAGGTTGGCGGCGACATATGGCGGGTTGAAGGAGGAGTATCAGTGATTTTTATCTTTTTTTCCTCTAACATCTAGCGTCTCGGGCTATGATTGAATGGATCTGCTTCTTTCATCCTGTAGCTCAGAGTTTCTATCTCAGTACTCATAGCCCAACTGCAACCATCCCAAATCCATACGACATGGCTTTTCCCCTTTTCTCGCACACGTCCTTTCGTGGCTTTTTGGAAATTGTGAAATACGACAATAAAATCTATCCAACACGATCTAAATCTGTAGATGCATTTAGAACCCCATTGCGGCCAAGGCGACAAAAGCTTAATTTTAGTAGGTTTGCCATAAGAAGCCATTCATAATCTCAGTACAACTGCTCCAAAAATGGAAAATCTTGCGTAGTTAAGTTAAACGAATGGCTTATATAATATAAATTGTACCCGTTCCAGCATGCCTCTTCATCTTCTGGCTATTAGGACTTGGTTACATGGATATCGGGGTGACAGCAGCTTCATATTAGGATGTAATATTACTGATTCTTGAAGAAGAGAACTAGATAGTAGAGAAGCAGAGAATGAGTATAAGATGCTGCAGCTTCTGTGGGTCACATGATGTGTACATAAGCATGCCCTAAGTCCTAGGCCTTACACTCTGCCTCCTCACCTCTCTCACCCCTTCCCCAGAGTGGTGAGGTTATTATATTATATATGTGATATAGATAGTAAGATATACAGATAATTAGACAATTAGAGTATACAGTAATGAAAAAAAAAGAATAGCTTAAAGAGTGAAATTAGTGAGATATATTCTACTCTATTCTGAAGTTCTAGTGAGATACACTCTGTTCTAGAGTTTATATAAAGTAGTGAGAGTCTTCAGTCCTACTTTTGAAACTTATAGTAGAATATATTCTACTCTACTTCTTAGTAGAATATGTTCTGTTCTATTAAGAATGAAGAGACTTATTATAGATTATTCTTCTAATAGCAGTTAATACTGTAATATTATATCTGAAAAGAATTAAGCATGTCAGTATATACAGAGTCTGCTTATAAAATATCTGATACTGAGTTTGTTACTGATAGTTATTAAGATCTTATTAAATAGCAGATATAGAAGATATTAAGATATAACTGAATATTAGAGAGATAGTTATAATCTATTTATTTATTAAATTAAGAGTTATGACTTACTTAATATACTAGATATTTAATTCAGTTTCTCTGAATGAGCTTGATATTGAGTATCTTTTAAATATTATTATTATTATTCAGATCAGAGTGTAGAGTCTCTGAAGAAATATACTAATTATTAAGAATAAATAAGTGATATAATTCTAGAAGTGAGACATGAAATAAATTATATATATAATAGAAAGATAATAGATTAAGTTGATATATCTGTATACTGATATAAATATATATAGTGAAGAATTCAAGAAACTGATAATTTAGCTTATAGTTAAGATAACATATTTTTATATTCTCTGTATTAAGAAAAAATAAGATTATTTATCTGAAACTTACAGAGCTTATTATAGATGTAATACTATATAAGATTCTGAGAGTGAAGAAGATAATTATAAATCTCTTACTAAGTATCTTTGATAAGAACTGTACAGTGTTCTACAGCAGTGTTATCTAATTCTGAAAGAGAAAAGTTAGACATAATAAGAGATGTGAGATAGTATTCTAGATTTATGAAGAATGAGATAAGATTATGAACAGAATGTACTGAATTACTGTAAGCAAATTCAGCTAAGATAAGAAGATCTACTCAGTCATTCTATAAGTAGATAATATATAGATGTGTAGCGGGCTGCGCCCGATCAATCATATAGACTATTTCATTACACTTCACAGATTCCAACCACTTCATTCTTGAACGCGTACGCTCCGATTCTCGGCCATTCTCAATCACTGATTCTCAGCTGTCATGAACGCGTACACTCCGATTCTCGGCCATTCTCAATCACCAATCCTCAGCCACTATGAACGCGCGTATATTCTTCCGCCCTGAAGCTCCACTGTGTACATCATTACATACATGTATAAATATTTATCTTGATCACTGATTCTCACACTTTCTCTTTCTTTTCTTCTCTAATATTTTTATCTTTATTATATAAGATCTATTAATATAATATCAATCTATTTAGTATAGGTCTTTTACACTATAAAAACATTCATTGTCTTCTCATTAGAAATGATTATTTATCAAGAGATATTTGAATACATAACAATATATAAGAAATAGAGAAACAGTTAAACAGTTAAGCAGACACTGAGTTCTCAGATAAGAAGCTTGCTTATCAGTCACTCTAACTCTGTAATAAGATCTTACAAAGAGAGTAAGATTTTATAAGAGAATATCAGTGAAAGACTTAAGAGTTCTAATACTCAGATATATAAGATAATTATATAATTACATATCTGATAATTGATATAATCATATCTAATAAGAATATGAAATTCTCAAATATAAGTATAGATATAATATCACAGTAGCTCTGAGTAATATTGAAATTACAATAATAATAAATAGCTGATATGTATGTAACTCAACAACTTCAATACAAAGAGATTCAATAATTAATTTATACAATTTCAATATCTACAGAATTAAATATAAAAGTACTGAAAGAATACTTAGATACTTCTATATATTTTAATACTTTCAATCTCACTTTCTACTCATTATGAAGAATGAAAATACTTATGAAACTGAGTATAGATAAAGATTTCATCAGTTTATTAATTAATCAAAGTTAATATATTAATAAATAATTGAAGAATTGCATGAAACAGAAGTTTCATTTATAAATGAAAGTATATAAATCAGTGTTACAAATATCTGATAATATCATTAAATATCTTAATATTCTATTTCAAGATACTGTTATATAATAGAAAGTATTAGATTAATTACAGAGTATCTGACAGAGAAATATTTCTCTTATAATATTTATCTCTGACTTTAACATCAAGATCTTAGAAGTAGATAATTAATCTTGAGAGAATTGAATAAAGATTAGCATGCTCAAGAAGATATTAACTTTTAAACTCTTACAGACTCTTATAAGTGTAAATAAAGACTCAACTTATGAAGACTTCTACACACAGCTTCAGATATTGAATGATTATCTTATCAAGCTCAAGAGTATATAGAACAGTGATAGAAGACATTACATCTCAGTTACTTATACACTTACATTAAAGAATAATAATAATGCAGATATTATGAACTGAATAGATTCAAATATCTATATATAAGTAAGAGTTTTTACTGTTTAAACAGGCTTCTGAGTTTCTGAGATCACTCTCAAAGAAGTCACTGATTAACATTAATATAAAGTATACATTAACTGTAACTGCTCAATACAGTTTCTGATAATAAAAAAATACTCTTATATACTGTCTCACTTAGACTGGCTGCTGAAACCATGAAGTTTGATCTTATTTGATCTGATCTCATACATTTCTTGGCGTGAATTCTGCTGAGACTGGCTATTAAAAAAACATGTAAAGTGACTATATATCAGATCTTAAAATGAAATCATGACTTGAAAAAAATAAGAAAGTAGTTTCATTTGATTTCATTTAGTCTCATTCTTGATATAAAGTTACTATTTTTAGACATTTTAAGGTTTTTTTTAGACTATTTTTAATTTTTTAAAAAGTAACACTTTTTGATAACACTCAAATGAGATTTAAAGTCATTTAAAGCAATAAAAATAATTTAAATTGAGAAGTGAAAATCATGATCTCATTTGAAAAATGTGATAAGAGTAGACAGTAAGTCTCACTGAAACAGTATGAGACTACTATCTAATGTTAAAACCGTATAATGAGATCAGTTGAATTGATAATGAGACTATCAAAAACTCTGATTCTGGTCTCAGACACGGTCACACGATCAGTCTACTTGAGAGAAAGATCAGTATCTTCTCATTTAAAGAATGAATCAGTATCTGTTCATATTAATCATATGTAAATAAATACTTTTAATTGACTTATTTACATAGTTTATTGATAATTACACTCTCTTTATATAAGTTATATAATATAATATCTCTATATTATAAATCATATCTACTCTGAACAATATTACTCAGCTTCTTTAAAACACTGATATACTCACTCTCTCAGTTATAATAGACTTAGAAGCAGAGTTCAATATTATTATTTCTGCAGTTGCTGAAGCTCTAAATGTTATAAAAGTTCTTATATTATATATCTTCTTAAAAGATCTCTAAGACTGAAAATATCTTACTTACTTCTATATTTACAAGATAATCTTATCAAATTCTGATAATCAATCAATGAAATACTACTTCATCTCAATACTAATATCACAGTCTCTGATACTGAAAATACTCTGACTGTAATATATTAATTCAGATATACACTGAGATTCTAATTATCTCTTTAACAGATTTCATATAAGATAGCTTGATAGTGATTATCTCTCATGAGAGTTAAAGAATCTTATTCTCACTGATAATATCATTTCTGTCATTATATAATTATAAATCAGTCAGAATATCTCTATTATATATCTATCTTCAGAGTTAGATGACTTCAAGAATGTCTTTTACTTACTCACAGTCAATACTCTAGTCTCATACTCAGAGACAGATATGAAGATTACTTTTATAGATAATAAGTCTCTAAAGAAGAGTCTGCTCTATAATATAAGTTAATCAGAACTACAACTTCTAAAAAAATATATTGAAGAAAATCTTAAGTGTGAGTTTATATACTTAAGTAAGTCAGTATATATCTTTTCAGTACTCTTCATATAGAAAAAAGATAAAATCAAATGATTTTATATAAATTATCAGAATTTAAATACTATCACAGTTAAAAATTAATATATAATATCTCTTATATCAGAGCTTCTTGAATACTTCACTGAAATATACTGAGTTATAAAACTAGATCTAGTTCATACATTTCATCTTCTGTGAATTACAAAGAAATATTATATCATTATTAATTTATATGTATTAAATATATTGACAGATTTTAAGAGCTAAGTAGCTAGACTGACTGCTGAGACTATAAATTTCATATTTAATTTCATTTGATCTGATCTCATACATTTCTTGATATGAATCCCGCTGAGACTGACTATCAAAAAAATATATAAAGTAACTATATATCAGATTTTAAAATGAAATCATGACTTGAAAAAAATAAGAGAGTGATTTCATTTAATTTTATTTAATCTCATTCTTAGTATAAAGTTACTATTTTTAGACATTTTAAGGTTTTTTTTAAACTATTTTTAATTTTTTAAAAAGTAATGCTTTTTGATAACACTTAAATAAGATTTAAAGTCATTTAAAGCAATAAAAATAATTTAAATTAAGAAGTGAAAATCATAATCTTATTTGAAAAATGTAATAAGAGTAGACAGTAAGTCTCACTGAGACAGTATGAAACTACTATTTAATGTTAAAACCATGTAATAAGATCAGTTGAATTGATAATAAAACTATCAAAAAATCTGATTCTGATCTCAGATATAATCACACAGTCAGTCTATAAGTAGCTAATTATAAAGACTATTTTAGAGATATCTGCAGTGATAAGATGTTCTCTAATATTATTATTTATATTAAATAATTAAAAGCATATATCTGTAGATTTATTAAATATATTAAATTCTTATAATTTAATTTTAATTGAATGAGATTGAGAGTTTAGTAGAGAGAGTTCACTAGTAGAATATTTATTCAGAGTATCTAAATATTGAATAAGATGAGTGTTTTCTTTCACTATTATATGATTTTACTCAGTCACTTAATTGACTTAATTAATAAGACTTTGTATTTAATGAGTAAGTGCTATGATGATTGTTAGTCAGATATAGAAGCAAGAGATGAAAATTTTCATGATTTTATAGCTACAAGACTGTGGCTGATATTATAGAGAAGAAGAATCAGTATATTAGAACTTGATTACATGAATATTGAGGTGACAGCAGCTTCATATTAGAATGTAATATTACTGATTCTTGAAGAAGAGAACTAGATAGTAGAGAAGCAGGGAATGAGTATAAGACACTGCGGCTTCTGTGGGTCACATGATGTGTATGTAAGCATGCTCTAAGCCTAGGCCTTACACTGGCCATCCCATTTCTTACTCCAAAGCCGTATCGGTCCTTTCAAGTGGATAATTTCAAGAGCACGTCATCAAAAGGCGGAAAAGCAGAAACATCATCATCACACTACTGTCACAATCTCTAAGTCTCCCAAAGTCTCCAAAGGATTTTTCGGCGCTTTATCATGAAAATCAGTGGGGGGAGGGGATGGTTCAGCAAAACGAAGAGGAAGCCAGCCATTGCGAGGAGATGATATACGTATTTTTATTCCATGATTCAATCGGAATACATAACAAAAATGAGAGGGGAATAAGTGGTATATGCACTGACTACTCAGAAGAGCTATATATAGAGAGAGAGAAGGGGGGGGGGGAAGAGAAAGGTTGAGTTGTTTATTCGTTTTGTTTAAAAGAGGAAATAGAGAGCAATGCGGAGCGAAGTAGAGCAGAGCAGAGCAAACACAAACGAAAAAAAAAGAACAATGTTAGGCAAGAGAGTTGCTGTCAAAGCAGTGGGGACACAGATACGAAAATAAAATAAAAATAAAAAGGAGGAAAAGCTAAGAAATCACAAGTTCCCTAAGAAAGGCTTGTTGGAAAAGGCGCAGTGGGTAGCGGTAGAATGTACGAAAAGAAAATGCCACAATGGAATAAAATAGACACATAGAAAGTGAATGCAAAAACAATGGGGGGTACAAAAGAGGGATATAACTAACAGCGAAAAATGATAAATATGCAGAAGTTTTCGCCTAATATACGTTAACTTACGTCACTACCAACCTCTCTCTTTCCACCCCCCATCCCATTCCCAACCGTGAATAATGTAAAAGAAGATTGAAAAATAGAAGTTAATATTAAGAAAAAATGGAAAACTAAGTTAGGACCGTCAAAAGGAGGAGGTAGCGGGAAGGAAACGAAACGAAAGTAGCGCACCCAGAAGCCCATGTTAGCAAGCCAGCTGGGTGGAATAATATAGCGCGCTCAAGGGAGAGAGAAGAGAATTGTCTGTGGAATGCACTTTCTTTCTTTCATGAGCCAAAAAGCAAAAAGAGGAAGCTCAATATGAAGAAGGGTTGACAGCAAGACTAAGGAAATTCGTCCATATGATTCGAAAATTAAGAGTGAAAGTTATAAGTGTATATATAAAAGTAGTCAAGTGACATCAAAGATGATGGCACTCGCAGAATGGTTCTGACTCTAAGAGAAAAACAAGATAATAAAAGAAACAAAAAGAGAAGGAAAAAGAAGTGTCATAAAAACGGTTGCTTGATTGTAAATAATCGGGGAATCGATGGTGATTGATAATGCAAGTCTGCTATGATCTCGGATGGAAGTGGTTGTTGAAAATGTTTCTGGCAACTTGACTTTGAGACAGTCTAGAAGAAGGGGGGAGGTACGATGCATATTTCAGTGTATTATGGCGCCTGCTCAGAAGGTTGTGGCTGCTCAGAAGACTGTGCCTGCTCGGAAGGGCCTGGGGTGCTATGGCACCAATGACGATGGAAGGCCCAGGCATTCTTCTGGCAATCTTTGCTACAATACTTTGTCCTGCGGCATCGTCTACATTTCGCAAATTGGCGTTGGAACTCCTCCCATTTCCCACACTTGTAGTATGCACACTGGCGAATACCGCCCCTGGCATCATCCTTGCGGCATAGATTTCGCATCACAACGCAGGCCCAGTATTGCATATCCTTGGTGTGGTGTCGAATGGTGAATTTTTCAACAAGTGGGAATATGTTGAAATCATCGGGTAGTAGGTATTCCTCTTCCTCTTCCTCCGGCTCCAGCGGAGGTTGAGACAGAGCATTGGGATCGTCCAAGAGGTGAATGTCCTTACCCAACTTCAATCTTGGAACCAAATGTGTCTTTTGGAAATACGAGCGTAAATTGCAATATTTCGAGACATATGCTAGAAGTTGTAAGGCCATCAAGACATCTTCATCTCGAGGCATCGCAGTCAAAACACCGGGAGGTACTTGGCGATCTCTCAGGTAGAAAGGATAGAGGTTTTGCTGAGGAACAGGAGACGCAGTGTTTAACGCAGTCGGGCGGACGGGTGAAAGGCCAGCAACACCATTTCCGGGCTGCGCTGTTGTGTTTATGATGCCTACGTCAATTGCAGATGGGTGAGTGATATTGAAAGTCTCCGCTTCAGGTGTATCGGACGGGTTTGGAATCGTGATTCCATGGGTCTCGGAGCTACCGTCAAGCATGGAGCCGCTTTCGCCAACATCATCGATTTCCATTCCGTTCTGCATATCAACTATGGGCTCAGTAACGTGGTGTGGAGAAGGGTCCTCTCCCATGACCACATCATCTCCATTAGCATCGTCAGACTCTCCCGATGCCGAAGGCTGCTGGCGAATCGATGGGCGTCGTCTCGCTCTCGCATTCATGGGAGCAGGGTTTTGATGTTCACCAACGCCGTGGGGCGTCGTTGGTGACTCTGGCTGAGAGTTAAGTCCCGGTTGCAGGCCTGGAAGCATTGGCGGCAACCGGTCAGCGTCACGAACAGGACGAAGCCCAAAACCAACAGTGCCATCCACAGGAGGAACAGCTGTTGCAAGAGGTTGCATTACTCGATGACGATGTGTTCCTAGCTGATGGCGGCTCTCGATTGTTCTATGGCTGCGTGCATCACGGGAAAATATCGTGCGATCTGGAGGAGAAGTTAGGATGACTTGAGGGGACGGTGTGATTTCCATCGCGCCAGACTCTCCGTGTTGGGCATCTCGAGAATATGGATGAGGAATCTCAATCGACGGGGGTGGGGCTTGTCGGCGAGTGGTGCGGTGGTCTGACGATGCCGGAGCTCTCTCAAAGAAGGATGAACGATTGCTCTGATCGCGTGAACGGGATGTTTTGGAAACTCTCGTGTTCCGCTGTGCTTCTGCATCGGCACGTGCCCTTATTTTATCGACCACACGAATGTAGTTATCGAGGATTGTGGCAACTACCGGCACAACATCTGCCTCAACAACTCTCGTCCTCACATTCTCCGTGCCACGGACTCCAATATTGACCACACACTGGAAGGCAAGGTTCCATTTCCACATCTCCATCAAGTCCTTGCTCCTCCCTTCCTTCAGAATGCATACTAACTGCTCAATTCCTCCATCGACGGTAAGTATGTCACGAATTCTGGCAGAGGATGTGGTGAGGTAGGCAAGGTGGTTCAGGGAGTTCATGAGAGGAAGCGTGGAAGTGCAGTCAAGGGCCCGTCGGTCGTAAAGCGTAGTTGTGATGTTGACAGCCGCCTTGTTGACGTTCGGAATGCTGAAATTTACTTCCCTCATGACGAATGTTGTCAAATACTTTCTGACTTCGAACCGGAATTAAAAGGGGATATAAGGGTTTGTGAACGCTGATAAAACTTTAGCACGTTGTGACACAGGAGCAAAGCTATCACTCCGTTCGGGAAGTCATACCTATTTGCAAAGGGTGAAGATTCCTTTGGGTTGAATAAAATATATCGGGATGAACAAATGGATGGCCCGATCTACATCAAATTACAAAAGGGTATTGTGGTAGAAAACCCGATTGATCCAATAACGATAACACCAGAGCGGGGGGTATATGAGCCGTGAAATGATGGGACGATGATCAAGGTCTCTTGTTTTTTTTTTTTTTTTTTTTGTTTTTTGACACAAAAAGCAGAAACCGACCAAGGAAAACGAGGCTCTAAAACCCAAGAAGGAAAACTATGTGAGCACGCAACGAGGGAGCTTTATACGGAACGGCAGACGGCTTCAAAATCTGGCAGCGAGGGTCTGCACATGGGGTTGAGTCGATGTGGGAAGGATGGAAGCCTCTATTGAAGATGTATTTAGTACGGATTGCTGCATAACTTTCTGATCAGATATCAGGCGTCTGATGGCACAGAGCTATCGAGTCACGAGGAATGAGACCTCTTTAAACAGTGGGACGTGACTTGAGAGATAAAGGTCGAAATTGAATAGTGGGAGCAATGGGGGGGGGATACTACTAACCTTGGATTGTAAATGATACAGAACGGATGGGGATGAGGCTCGCGATGGGGATGCAAAACTGACGGGGGGGAGAGGAGGGGGCTTGGCCGTTGTAGAGCCACAAAAGCGAGCAAAGAGAAACAACCACCACGACGCAGACGTGGAGTAGGGTATCTGAAGAGAGAGCCAAAAAAACAAAAAAGAAAAAAGAGAGGCAAGGCGAGGGAGTTGATGAGAACGAGAAGTAAAAAAAGAGAGCAGATGGGAGAGATGGAGAGATGGAGGATAATTGAGGGCAAACGGGGGTAGAGAGGAAAGGATGGGTTTGGTTGGGCTGAGGAGAGGACGGCAATGTCCGGTTTTCTGTTTCTGTTTCGGTTTCTGAGCCTGAGCCCGAGCCTGAGCCTTGAGCCTGAGCCTGATGCCTGCTTAGCTAAGGCGCCGCCCCCCGCCAAGATAACTTATCCGACTGGAGCTTGGAGCTGGTGCTTTTTGCCTTCAGGCGTGGGATTTCCCCATTTTATTTTGTTCTGTAACTAATTTATAACTGTTTTACTGGCATTGTTACTCCCGTTCATTATTATGCTTGTTCTTGGTTTTGGTTTTGGTTTTGGTTTTGGTTTGGTTTTGGTTTTGTTTTGGTTTTTGTTTTTGGTTTTGGTTTTATTCTTGTTCTGATGATTCTTGTTCTTGTTCTTGATTGTTCGATAGCTACCATTCCTTAGTCCCGAGGTGTCTATTTATAGATACTCAGTTTCCTCTCTCTTTCTTTGCTCTGCCCTACCTCAACGTTTTTAAATGGAGCTGGGAATGAATAAATGTCCCATGTCCGCTGACTGGCAACAGTTGAGAAACTGAGCATCGTCCCGTCTAGAGCGCCTGGTAATTTTCCCCTTGCGGCGCCAGTTTTGGGGGCGCCACACGAAGATGGGTAAGTCTTTTTGTCGTTGCGAATACGGAGTAGTTAGTTATATTTACAAAGTGGTGCACACACTTGGGGACCCTAGTCGCACTCTTACGTAAATATTGACGTGACTTAATTTGATTAGAGAAGTATATAGAGAGAGAGGAAAAAGGAGGGAGCAGAAGAGAGAGAGCCTTTTAGTAGATGAGTAGATGATCAGAGCAAAGAGAAATTGCATTGAAATAATCGCAACTTGACAAGGGATAACCATACGGGATAACTATAGGTACGCCTATCCGCCGGCGGCAAGTGGAGGAGGGCTAAGGTTTTTTTTTATTCCTTGTCTGTTTTAAACCCAGTAGTTGAAGCTGAAGGAGGAAACTGAACAGAGCCAACCTCTGAGCCGACAAAAGGAATGGTATTGTGGAAGGTGTAAAGCTTGCTTGATTGAAAAGGTTGCTAGCTTGGTGTATACAGAAAATGTAGGCAAAAGAGCTCAGTCCCCACCAGCGCACTGCTGGTAGGAGGGGCCTATCACGCCACTTGACCTCATTACATAATCATGACCCTGACCTCGCTTGACTTTCAATCTTTCACTCAGCTCATCAATCAATCAAAGCATGTATAGCTGATTCATAATCAATTAAATAAATAGATAAATTTATATAGAATATAAAGAGATATTTTACAGAATTTTAAAATATATTAAGATAAAAATATTTAATATTTGATTTTATATTAATTATTAATTAATTATAGTAATAAAAATAAATTCAATTTATATATTTAAGTAATTAACAATTGATTGAAAATTAGTTAATAATCAATTCAGTGTAAATGATATAAATACTTACTTTATTATTAAATTCAAGAATAATTTCAGTATTAAATTTATTTTAAATTGATTTTAAATTAATTTTGAATTGATTGTTAATTAATTACAGTAATAAAAATAAATTCAATCTGTATATTTAAGTAATTAACAATTGATTGAAAATCAGTTGATAATCAATTCAGTGTAAATTATATAAATACTTATTTTATTATTAAATTTAAGAATAATTTCAGTAATAAATTAATTATTAATAAAATTAGTAAAGTCTTCTTTATATATAAAAGTTATAATAAGAGAAGAATTATTTCACAATTAATTAAGAATTAATTATAGAATTGATAATATATAATTAAGTAATTTCAAATTATAAGAAAAGATGTATTGAGTGAGATCAGACAGTAGTATAGACTATATTTACAAGATTAGATTATATAATAAGATTAAGTAATATACTTAGTAAGATTAAGTTTTCTACTTTCTAATCTTTCTTAAAGAATAATATTATTATATATGTAATTTATCTGTACAAGTTACACTAAATAGAGTTGAGATAGTATATAATTAGAGTAGATATAGTAATTATTAGACTGACTGTGTAACTGTGTCTGAGATCAGAATTAGATTTTTTAATAGGCTCATTATTAATTTAACTGATCTCATTACACAGTTTTAATATTAAATAGTAGTTTTATACTGTCTCAGTGAGACTTACTATCTACTCTTATCATATTTTTCAAATAAAATCATGATTTTTACTTCTCAATTTAAATTATTTTTATTACTTTAAATGACATTAAATCTCATTTAAGTGTTATTAAAAAGTGTTACTTTTTAAAAAATTAAAAATAGTCTAAAAAAAACCTTAAAATATTTAAAAATAGTAAATTTATATCAAGAATGAGACTAAATAAGATTAAATAAGATTACTTTCTTATTTTTTTCAAGTCATGATTTTATTTTGAGATCTGATATATAGTTACTTTACATGTTTATTTAATAATTAATTTCAGTGAGATTCACACTAAGAAATGTATGAGATCAGACTAAATGAAATTAAATGTGAAATTCATGATCTCAGCGGCCAGTCTACATACTGTTATTATTATTATTATTATTCTTTCATTATACTTATATACAAGCGGAGCTTATGATGAGTCCTTGTGTGATGTTAAATACAGGTCAAGTGTTAGTTATACAGAAGGAAATACAGGTGTTGAGACCATACCAAGATAACAAGAACATAGGAAATACAAAGAAGTGACAATTAGATACATGCGATAATAACTTCCCAGCTCAGAAACATAGAGCGATTTTATTAAAGTGATTTATATAAAAGATGTAAAGCTTGTGTGATTGAAAGATTGCTAGCTTTGTGAAAAGTTATATAATGAAGAGATTAGTAAGCCAGATCATGTGACCTGACACCCTCACTTACCAGAGTAACTATACACAATGCTATATACAAAATTCGCCTTCAAATCAAGTACAGGTACAAAAAATGACTGGAAAATGTGAAGTAATGAAAAATCAGTCATGATATACATTATTTTTTATTTCTTTATTTCTCTATCTTCTTTATATTCTCTTTTTAACACATATATTTTAACATTTCAAGTGGTTTAGTAAGCTCATCTGCTGTGTTCTCAGCAGATGAAACATATCAGATAGATATCTCATTCTTACAAACAAGATTCTGAAGAATGTAAAAACAGATCTCTATATAATTCAAGCAGTGTGAAATTGCTTCAGAAGAGAATAGCTCTATGATGAACTTATTATCAGTATGAATTGTATAAGTCAGATCATTGACTGTGATGAGAATGAGATGATTATCAGCATTTAGATTGTTGAGATGAGATGAAATGAATTCAGTGTCTTCTAGAAGCTCTCAGAGACAGACAAGCTTATATACAGTCTCAGAGAATGCAATATATTCGGCCTCTGTTGATGACTTAAAGACCTCTGTTTACTGGCAGCTCTGTCATGCAATAGAGCCACCTGTCATGTAGATGATATAATCGGTGATTGAACAGGATTCTGAATCTCTACCAGCTCAATCAGCATCTGTGTATGCTACAGGTTCAATTTCAGCATCTCTGTGATAGGTTATACTCTCATTAATTGAACTCTGTAGATATTGAAGTGTATACTTGTATACAGCTCAGTTCTTTGATGTAGACTGAGAGCTGAATTGTTCAAGAAATCCTGCAGTAAAGCTCATATCAGAATATGTATTGAATGCCAGATATTGCAGAGATCTGATACCAGATTGATAGAACTGTAGAGTAAATTCTGCTATATATGCAATTGATTCCTCATCATCATTCATGAAATTGACATTCTTCTTCATAGAAGTGAATATAGAATGACAGTCATTCATTGAGAACTTCTTCAGAAGATTTCTTATAAAGAGGAATTGAAACAATGTCAATAAAGTTGAATCTCTATCAATCTTTATTTCTAGATAGTGATTGAAATTCTCTATATTCTTGATCTCATAATTAGCAGCAATTTCAGCTTTGGCTCAGTTCAGATCTTTGATTTTCAGGCTATAGAGACAGACATCATTCATGTAGATGATTATATAGA